ATTAGACATTAATAACATAATCTAATTATACATGAATAATCGTATTAAATTTATATTCTTGATAGATTATTTATGTTAAATTAAATATTTAGGAATAAAAATGTACAATTTTTTGAGAGAAAAAGCAATATAATTTTGAAAAAATACACATTTATGCTTTATAATTACAAAATAACTAATTAAGTATTTACAAAGTTATAATTAGGACAAAATTACAATTTTACAATATCTTATTATCTTAGTCAAATATTAAGTATATATATTGAGGGAAAAAGTTATCTTGATCTTTAAAGAGAAAAATAATGGTAAAGAAATATTGATATAGTTGATATTTATAAATTATGTTAGCATATTAATCATTGTAATTTTTTATTACAATCTAATTGGTTTTCCAAAATATAGCTACCTTTTGATTTCAATAAAGGTCTCAAATCAATGCCTTAATGATTAATGAATTCTCCTTTGAGAACTAGAGCTCCTTGTGCTTAGAATATAGCGGATTAGGATATAAGGAGTTTAGTGATGTAATTGGAGGCTATAAAATGATAGGGCTTAAATACTACCTTCTGAAATTTGGCTATGTTATTGGAGTGGAATCTTTAATTATGCAAGACAATTGTGAGAAGAGGATATAATTTCTTCTCCTGTTTTGACATCCCATAGACGGATAGACTTATCATCACTACCAGAAGCTAATGTATTTCCATCAGGAGAGAAACAGACTGAGTTAATACAATTACTATGACCATCTAATTTGGCTTTTTATTATCCTGTTTTGACATCCCATAGACGGATAGACTTATCATCACTACCAGAAGCTAATGTATTTCCATCAGGAGAGAAACAGACTGAGTTAACATAATTACTATGACCATCTAATTTGGCTTTTTATTATCCTGTTTTGACATCCCATAGACGGATAGACTTATCATCACTACCAGAAGCTAATGTATTTCCATCAGGAGAGAAACAGACTGAGTTAACATAATTACTATGACCATCTAATTTGGCTTTTTATTATCCTGTTTTGACATCCCATAGACGGATAGACTTATCATCACTACCAGAAGCTAATGTATTTCCATCAGGAGAGAAACAGACTGAGTTAACATAATTACTATGACCATCTAATTTGGCTTTTTATTATCCTGTTTTGACATCCCATAGACGGATAGACTTATCATCACTACCAGAAGCTAATGTATTTCCATCAGGAGAGAAACAGACTGAGTTAATATAATTACTATGACCATCTAATTTGGCTTTTTATTATCCTGTTTTGACATCCCATAGACGGATAGACTTATCATCACTACCAGAAGCTAATGTATTTCCATCAGGAGAGAAACAGACTGAGTTAATATAATTACTATGACCATCTAATTTGGCTTTTTATTATCCTGTTTTGACATCCCATAGACGGATAGACTTATCATCACTACCAGAAGCTAATGTATTTCCATCAGGAGAGAAACAGACTGAGTTAATATAATTACTATGACCATCTAATTTGGCTTTTTATTATCCTGTTTTGACATCCCATAGACGGATAGACTTATCATCACTACCAGAAGCTAATGTATTTCCATCAGGAGAGAAACAGACTGAGTTAATATAATTACTATGACCATCTAATTTGGCTTTTTATTATCCTGTTTTGACATCCCATAGACGGATAGACTTATCATCACTACCAGAAGCTAATGTATTTCCATCAGGAGAGAAACAGACTGAGTTAATATAATTACTATGACCATCTAATTTGGCTTTTTATTATCCTGTTTTGACATCCCATAGACGGATAGACTTATCATCACTACCAGAAGCTAATGTATTTCCATCAGGAGAGAAACAGACTGAGTTAATATAATTACTATGACCATCTAATTTGGCTTTTTATTATCCTGTTTTGACATCCCATAGACGGATAGACTTATCATCACTACCAGAAGCTAATGTATTTCCATCAGGAGAGAAACAGACTGAGTTAATATAATTACTATGACCATCTAATTTGGCTTTTTATTATCCTGTTTTGACATCCCATAGACGGATAGACTTATCATCACTACCAGATGCTAATGTATTTCCATCAGGAGAGTAACAGACTGAGTTAACCTATTTACTATGACCATTTAATTAGGTTTTTTATTATCCTGTTTTGACATCCCATAGACGGATAGACTTATCATCACTACCAGAAGCTAATGTATTTCCATCAGGAGAGAAACAGACTGAGTTAATACAATTACTATGACCATCTAATTTGGCTTTTTACTATCCTGTTTTGACATCCCATAGACGGATAGATTTATCATAACTACCAGAGGCTAATGTATTTCCATCAGTAGAGAAACAGACTGAGTAGACAGTACGAGTATGACCATCTAATTTGGATTTTTATTATCCTGTTTTTGTATCCCATAGACGGATAGAACAATCATCACTACCAGAAGCTAATCTTTTTCCATCAGGAGAGAAACAGACTTACTAGACAGCGTTATTATGATCAACCAATTTGACAACTTTTTTCTTCGTCCTAATATTCCATAGATAGATAGATTCATCATCACTACCAGATGCTAATGTATTTCCATCAGGAGAGTAACAGACTGAGTTAACCTATTTACTATGACCATTTAATTAGGTTTTTTATTATCCTGTTTTGACATCCCATAGACGGATAGACTTATCATAACTACCAGAGGCTAATGTATTTCCATCAGGAGAGAAACAGACTGATGCTACACCATATTTATGACCATCTAATTTGGCTTTTTATTACCCTGTTTTGACATCCCATATAAGAATTTCTTCAAAACTACAAGATGCTAATATATTTTAATGAGAAGAAAAACAAACCACTTAGATTGAATAGGTAAAACTTTTTATATTATTTAATTCATGGATTCTTAAGTTATTCCATTTACAATTAAATAATAATGCTCCATTTAAATTCATTCCATTTATATTTACATTATCAAATTAGGATCCACTTAAATTACACCAAGCAAAATTACCTCCTACTAAAGAAGTATTTTAGATTTTAATATTTTCAAAATTTTTTTTTCTAATGTCCACCTTCATTTCAACTAATATTTATAATGAATTAGACCCAGATTATATTAAAGTGTTATCTATAGATGTGAGGTGAACTAAAAATTATAAAAATTCTATGATTACTCTATTTTCCTTTATGCTTTTTATTAAATTATTTATAGATCTCATGTTGTTTTCACTAAAATAATCTTTCTTATTAAAGTTGTGATTTTTCATTTTTTTTAAGAGATTAAGAATTATTTTCAAATCATTTTGAACACATTGAGACAATTTCTATTTTTTCTCAGCCTATGTTATATTTTCTCCTTTTATTTTTAATTATTCCAAAAGACTTTGATTACCATAATCCTAAAGATATCCAATAGAGTCTTAGACTCTTTCCTTTTCAAATATTTCGAATATGAGTCCAAATATTTGTTCATCTACATCTTTAACTTAGGCAAAGATGTCAGCAAGAGATTCCTTATCTTCAAAATTACACCACATTTTCTTTTTATTGTTAATATTGAATTTCTATTACTCTAACTTGAAGTTAAATACTGCAAAATTGATAAAAGTATCTTGTGCATTTCTGTAAAATAGAAGTTAGGACTTTGTGTAGATTTGGAATTTATTGTAGTGTTAATTATGCTATTGAGAATGCATTTCAATATCTGCATTACTTGATTTTATAATAATATAGAATATAATTATTTTATATGAATATTTTAATTTATACAAAAATTGAATGATATGATTAATTCATAAATTTTTCTTGTTTATCTTTAAATTTTAAGCTAATTGTTTTAAGATTGGAATATGTCTTACTATTGTAATTAGATTATTGGAGTTCTAGTTGTAGTAAATGAGGTAAGGTATGTTGATCACTGTGAATGATCAATTTTCTAGAATAGTGTTTACTTTTTTTATTATTTTACAAAATAATAATACACCCCCCTTTTAAAATATCAAAGGGAAAAAGTGAAGAGGTACTTTTTGTAAAAATTGCATCCACATTTTTGTTGTAATAATTGATGATATAAACTTAAGGTGTTAACCAATATGCTTGGAATTATACCCTCTTTAGTTTGGTGTATCATATGTCCATCTTTATATTGACTCATATTTTTATATAAAGTAATATTATTTTTTTGGATATTTTCAAATAATTTTTAAAATCTAATATGACCCTTCTAATAAAGGTTATATTGTCTTGGTGGAAAATTTTGGTGATAAAAATTAATTGAGAAAAAAAAAAGTGAAGATGTACTTTTTGTAAAAATTGCATCCACATTTTTGTTGAAATGAAAAGTGATATAAACTTAAGGTGTTAACTAATAATCTTAGAATTGTACCCTCTACGGGTTTGGGGTTGGGTTTGGG